TATATATGTGTGCGTTTATACGTTAATAAAAGCTAAAATCATATAAAGTGATCATATCTTTTCAGAAGACTAGGATTAAATGGCACGATTCATATGGATTCGTTTTACAACGCCTTTATGAACTTTTTGGATCTTTTAAGATTTGTTTACCTGGTTTTTAAATGGAGGAACCGAAACCTCTCAGGTTTCATTAAAAATATCTTAATTTGGGGTTTGAAGATTAACCAAAGGCTATGGGTTTGGAATGGCATGAGGGTGAGTAAATGATGCCAGAATTAACATTTTTGGGAGAACTATGTGACACAAATTTAGCCAGTCACATAAAACGACACCTCCAGGTAACCCTAATATGGCCAGCGCCAGCCTGCTATTCAACAAAACAGCTATGAATATTAATATTAAATCACCTAATTTTCTGTAGCTCACACTGTAGAGCATGGCAATAGCATGGGTTCAATTCCCAGGGAAAACAAGAACTGATAAAATGTAAATGTGTGCCTTTAATGCAGCATAAGTTGCTTTGGATAACAGTGTCTGTCAAATGCTTTATATAATTAATATTCATGAGCCTGCCTGATAAGGTTTGCAGTGCACCCCTTTACTGTTTTTTAAAAAACTATTTTGTGCAGAGCTCTGGTAAAAATGAACGAAAGTTGATTATGTGGCAACAAAAGATCAATACTGTCAAAATCTGATTTCCTACATCAATTCCCAAGCACGGAGACCTTGGCATGAAGAAAACTGCTCGACGATGATGGAATTAAACAATGATTGCACAAAAGTCATTTAAAAGTCAACTTTTTGAGTTTCTCACCAGATCCAAGTCATGAAAGTGGAGATAGTATTTTCTGATTGCTCCTTTGTAGCTCAGTGGCTCCTTCCTAGGATTACTTGCAGCATTTTTCACTTCCTCCTCCTCCTGTTCCTCATCTCCAGGCCTCTGACCGGGTTCAAACTGGATCATGTCAGTCCTGTACACTGACTATGTGGGCTGAACAAAATAGTCAATGTTAATTTAAGGTTTGCATTTGTGGGAATTTAATTCATGATAAAGAAACGTACATATCTCCGTCGTCTGATAGTGTTGGGGTCGACGTCTATTTCAGGAAGCAAACTAAATAAACAATCTCCTCCATTGTCCGCAACGGCAAAAGTATGTATCCAGTCAGACAAAGTAAGGCTCTGAAAAAAGTTGTTTTGTCATTATTAAACCATTTTGTCAATACTAAACCATGTAGAGACGCTGTGAAATGTCTACATACCCAAACAGTGGCTTTTCTAGGACATACAAAGTAAGGCTTGATTCCAAGGTAACCTGAATCAAAATAGTGAACTCCATGTTGTCCAAACCTACACATAGCAAAGGAAAATGATGATTTAGTAAAAATATAATTTTAAAACATCATATATTCAGAAGAGCAAAATGTTTGTGGACTGACGTAGCAAAGCAACACTCTTGAGCCATCAGGATGCCGCTCCAAAAGAGGGGCCAGTACACTTCAGGGGACAAGCAGCGCTTTACTGCCAAAAGAGGCATGTAGGTTTTTCTCACGTCCCACATTTTAGCCATGCGGTCATCTCCGACTGTCACCAACAAATTACTGCCAACAATAGGAGACAGAAACATTATATAATTCCTGCTTTTTTCATACCTCATCACCATTACAGATAGATCAATATTTTTACCAGTATTTACACTGCAGAAATGTAAGTGATCTTGTTAATACAACTGATTCTCACCTTGAGGCTCTGCACCAGCACAGGGTCCGGATGTTCTCATCGTGAGCATGGAAACAGTGGTAAGGGTAGAGAGACACACCACCATCTGGAGACCTGACTTTCAGTAGTGTAGATTTACTAGCAAGATCCCACAAACCAACCAGACCTGGAAAAGAGAAACAATCACAAACATAAAATACTGCAATATATATAAACCAAGGTATTTACAATTAGCAATTCTGTTTAGATGAACAAAGAGGCCTATAGGCAAAACATATGAAATCACCATCATAGAAGCCAGCAGCCAAGAGGTTATGTGGTTTGACGTGGAGCCAATCCATAGCAAAGCACAGACCACTTTGACCTTTATGATCTGCCTGGTTGGAGCCCATCTCCAAAGTCAGAACCTTCTTCACCTGCACAAAAGAACACAATAAAACAGATCATTTGACCCTGGACCACAGAACTAGTCATAAGGGTCAATTTTCGAAATTGAGATTTATACAGCATCTGAAGCTTTCCATTGATGTATGGTTTGTTATGACAATATTTGGCCGAGATACAACTATTTGAATATCTGTAATCTGAGGGTGCAAAAAAATCTAACTATTGAGAAAATCGCCTTTAAAGTTGTCCAAATGAAGTTCATAGCAATGCATATTACTAATCAAAAATTAAGTTTTAATATATTTACAGTAGGAAATTTACAAAATATCTTCATGGAACATGATCTTTACTTAATATCCTAATGATTTTTGGCACAAAAGAAAAATCGATAATTTTGAGCCATACAATGTATTGTTGGCTATTGCTACAAATATACCCCAGCAACTTA